CGGGCGGGGGCGGGCGGCGGCTGGAAGCGGCGCTCCCCCCGCGGCGGCCGGGGGTCTCGCCTCTCTCCCCGCGGGCTGCGGTGGCGGCGGGGCCGACTGGGCGGGCGCAGGACGCCGGGCGGCTCGGCGGGGCTCGGCCCGAGGGGGAACGGGCATTACCTGAAACTGTGGTACAGCCTTGCAGCCGGCCGGCCGTCCCTCTGCCTGCCTGCCTGCCTGTCTCCCTGTCTCCCCGGGTGGATCTCGTACCTGCAGTCTGGCGGCTTATTCTTGTTGTTAATTTGGCGTTGTTTGGCTTACCCACGCGCGAGGATTGATCGCTCACTTGTGCAAGTTCCCGGGGGTTATTGTTATGGATGCCTCCTTGCAGATGATGGTCAACTTTCTGCCTTTTATTTTGATTATACGTGCGTGTTTCTCTGGGTGTGCATGTAAATAATTACGTGATGCATCCCTGTGTGTACGTATCTGTGTCTGTGTGCGCGCATAAACGTACATCCCTGTGTACGAGAGACACAGAGGGAAAATAACCCACCCTGCTGATGCACGCTCAGATGATTTGCTCCGTTTGCCCAGTCCTGATGCCCTTTAAAGACACGGTGCATCTTTTGTTTGCTCCTTAGGGTTTCCCACGACTGTCATCTTCTTTTAAAGATAACTTATCTGGGTGGGGGGAGAGGAGGAAGCAAGTTTCAAGTTTTGGGATCTTTCCTCTTGTTGGCCTTGTGGTGAGTTGCAACATTGTAAAATCATGGTGTGCTCATGATGTGCCTTTATTTGATACTTTATAGGTCACTATCACATGACAAAGGCTTTGAGACAGCTTCGTCTTCGTCTGTCTGTAATTTCCATTTGCCTTCCTGGGTAAGTATGTAAACTGTACACACGGAAAAAGAACTCATTTTTTGTTGATAAGGTAGAGGTCCTTGCGCTGCCACTTTTTACATGGAAGATGCTTGTTCAGGTTTTAGTGCCTCAAAACATGTCTTTTCCACGTGCTCACAGCAACTGTTAGATTACAAAATTTGTATGTAGGGGTGGGTCTGAATAACCTGAGAATTAAAAGGTTGGGCATATTCAGATCTCTCTCCACTTCTCTTTTTTTTCTTGTTTTTTCTTAAACCTTGTCTTGTAAAGATAATCACCTTGTTGACTTCAGACAAAAGTTTTAAACCAAAGTAATGTTAGAATATGCAAAGTGCAACACACAGGTTGAAAACTTAATGAGAATGTAAAGTTCTTTTAATATTCAGTGCTAGGAACAATATGAAAATATAAACAGAATGGGTGGTTAGAAATCTCTGGAGGCCAAGCATCAGTGAGAAATTTAGCAGAACTGTATATTACTGCAACAGGAGTTGGTTCAATTTTAACACATAAACTAAGAGCTAATTAGAATTGCAGCCATGCTCTTTCTGTGGTACTGTTTTTTCTTTTGGCATTGATTAATGCAGGTACCTATCAATTTGAAAGATGAATCTAAATGACTAATTTATTAGTATTCCTAAGCTTTCAGGTACACAACCTTTTTTCCTTTATCTGTATGCTTGATAAAGTTTTTGATGCCTTTTGAGGGGTTTGACATCTTGGAAGCTGAAGTAGAAGTAGTAGTTTAAAGATGATGTAAATTTGTGGGGTCACATTCATAGATGACATAAAATGAGTGGCACTTGGAGCACTTGTCATACAGTTGCCTGTGGTGGCACTGAACTGCATTTGGCCCAAAATGGGGAAGTGGGAGGTAATTTTTTTTTTAATTGTACTATTGTGTACATAATTAAAAAAAAGACAAGACATGTATTTGGGGTAAGCTTAGTACTCATAAATGCAAATGATTAATAACATACTCTTGACCTTTTCCAGGCAGTGTATAGCAGACATAGGATAAGTGATGGTCCCAAACACGTTGACTCGAAGGGGGCTGTTGGGAGCAGCTGTTCTGGTGTGATATTATGACCACAAAACTAGTCTTAAGGCAGGAATAGCCACTGTAGGGAGAGAGCTTGAAGGGAGGATTCTGCCTGTTCTCCAGTTCCTGTGGAATTACACCCAAATTTCAGTTTTTCAGATTTTGTGGGCAGGGAAGGTGGTATGTGTAGCTCGGGAGAGTATAAACACCAAATTACATTATTGAAGTTCTTTGACGGACTAGTTTTATAGGAGAATATTGCTTTCAGTTTTATAGCATTACTGACAAGGATCATGTTCTGTGTAGAGTAATTGGTGCAACAATTTTTACAAAGTAAAAATGCATTGGGAAATTCAAAAACTGGCATATAGGCTTCAAACTGTTGTGCAGACTTGAATACAAATGTGCTGATTTCTGAACTTAGTTTTCTGTGTTCTCAGGTAAGAGTCAGATTAGAGTGCTTTAAGTGCCAAGGACTTTTTCTTTATTTGGAGTAATAGTTAAGGGTACTGAACAAGAATAGCTTGGGGACCTTGCTTCACATAGTATCTTCCATCACTGTCTGGTTTTAATTTTATGGAATGAAGTCTTTTGGATGCATGGAATTTTGATCCTAGAAATGAAGCAGTGGTTGTAATCTGTCTACAACTTCAACAGCAGTAGATCTCAATTTTGTGCATAGTGCTAAATATAGGGTTTGCCTGATGTTGAACTGGTGTGAACAAATTACAAAGAAAAGAAGGGTAGGGTATCTTTTTGAAGAAAAAGGCATATTAGAAGCTTTAGAGGAAGAGGAGAAATAAGTATCTTCTTACCTTAAAAAAGGTAATAAAAATAACATGCCTAGTTAAGGGGAGAATAGAGATTTCATTAGATTTGTCCATGACTAGAAACTTCCATTTACTTTAGAGAGCTTTTATTTTGGTAAAAGCAAAGATTTCTTTTACTATACAGTTCTCAGTAAAGTAACTGTTCATGAATGGAGTTTAGTAATTCAGTCAGACATACAAAAGAGACACCTGGGTTCTGGTCTTGATTAACAAGTGCTGGTTAACAAGTGCAGTGCTGATGTTCACAACCTAAAAGGCAGTGAGCTGCTTTGCAAGGGACCTTATGAATGCTTCAGAAATCGGCCAGTGGTCTCAAAAGTTTGTTACATCCTACAGTCCCTCATGGCACACCAAGCCGATAAACCATTTCAAGCAGACACATAATTTAGCAGAAACGTAACTGGTTTCTGTGTTGAGAAAAACTCAAAATATTTAAGAAGCTTTCCCTCAACGCTTTTGAGTTTTTGGGGGGCTGCTTGCCATAAACCTGTCGCCTGCAAAACTTCCATTGGTTTCAGCAGGAGGTTTATTTAGGAAAGGAGTGTAGGAGTGATGGTGAGAGGAATTTGTCCATGTTTATTTTCCCATTCAAGGAAGAAAACCTTTCTCTTTCATAGCTGTTGTGTGAATAATTAAAGATACTAAATGTCAGTTTTCCACATAAAATATCAGAGGTAATCATGCAGTTATTTTATAACTAACATTTTCCCTTTTCATCCAAAATGATCATAATACATTTTGTTCATAAATTAGTTGTTACATAGCTTGCAATCCTGTAAGCATGTGAGTATCTTTAAACAGATGACAAGTTGTGTTAAATTCACTGATACAATTGCTCGCATTCAGAGCTTAAAGTTTTTCCAGGTTGCTGCTGCTCGTGGTCTGCAGACTGAGAATACGCAGTGTATCTGAAGCTCAGTCAATATGGCATAGGCAGGGCAGTCTTCTGGCATAGCAGAGTGGTATGAAGAAAGGAAGTTTTGACCAAGCGAGCTGGGGAGAGTTACTCTTCCACTGCGTGTAGCGGCAGGGAAGGTGCAGATGAGGTAGACAAGACCTGCAGTGTGCAAGGCTCTGCTGTCATGTGAAAGCTGTAAGTGCACCCTGCAGTGAAATCTGGGCACCTAGGAGGTGAAACACTGCCTCTCTTTTGATGGTACGTGGCATGTGCAGTGTTCAGGCCTCCCTGTTTATTTGAAGGTGGCTCCTTTGTGGAGGAAGGTGCTATAGATTACAGTTGGAACTGAAATGACACTCTCAATTCAATTTCTGAGTGTGCCACAGGCTGTGTCTGTGAGCTCTGGCAAGTGAGGTAGTCAAAACCAGGGGCCACTTTCCAAATTTTTGGACCTAAAACTTCCAGTGCCCTGCCAAAGGGGTGGCCCGCTGCAGCTGCTGCTGGAGTCAGCGGCACTGCCGTGGCCTGCTGGTGTTTTCCAGGGTCAGAGTTTATTCCTGGAAGCACAGCCATATGTCCCTTTGCCACCTGCAAATGAAGACTAATGATACTTCCCTGTATCATTAAATCATATGGTGCCCATATATTGGAACAGTTTTCCTGGTATGGATAGTGCTTTACCTTACTGTTACCTTAATTTATGTTTTCATTATTACTTGGGAGTCTGTAAAACTGGATTGAGATAATAGTTCTGTGTATTTAAAAATTATCTTGAGAAGAAACAGGAAAAATTCAACTTTCTGACTTCTGTAGTATTGACTTGATTTCTTTTCTTCTACCATGTTTCTCCCCTTTCCTGGGGTATCATTGTCAGAAGCTTTTTCATTCTGTATTATGTCAAAAATTATTAGGACTTACTTATTTTATTTTTATTTTTTAAGATCAGTAATGATACACTGTTTCTGTCTGAGAGCAATGTGGTGAGCCTGGTACTAGTGGACATGTGAATTTCACAAGCGACTCCTACGGCTGTCACCCTTCTTAACAGTTTCAGAATGGGTAAGACATGCACCAGCGTTAAGGATTTCTCTTTCTTTAAGAATGGCTTGATGGGCTGCTGTTAGATTGCATTGTTTGGAAAAGGATAAAAAAGTCATCTTAGTCTCTCCATAATAATGATATTATTAATAATTGGCAGTTGTATGTATTGCCTTATTCATGTGCCTGTGTCCTGTCTGGTGAAGCACATCAGCCATGCTGTAATCACACACCTCAAAACAGTAACTTATTTCTGTTTTAGGCATCTGAGATAGAGAGCAGTGAAGGAGCATAGGCTTGCCTGCACTCGCTTAGCAGGTTATCATTAGCAGGGAATGGAATAAAATCTGCATCTGACTCCTTAGTTTTGTGTCCTTTCCCTTGGTGTATGTTGCCGCTCTGAAGCTTCCCTGGTAAATGCCTGTCTTGACATGTGAGTAGTTTCACTGTGCCAGGTGGGCATCTTCTGCTAATACTCAACTTCCATTCATAATTCTACTTTTAAAAAAATCTCACAAAACACCTTCAGAATAGTGTGAAGTTACTGACTTTCAATTTGGTTATATTTATTGACAGGAGAGTCTAAAGTAGGAGGAGAGCTTACTTAAGAGTCTTTGCCACTAAACATGGTATTTAAACGTGGCTGCTGTGTATATTACGCTATTTATTATATTACACTATTTAATATTAACTTTGTTGTGTTAACTTTATGAAGTAAGGTATTGGTTTTCATAGTGAAGTTTTTAAAATATGCATTGGTCTGAAATAGTTCTTCGCAATTAAATTATTTTTTGTATTCATGTTACTTTGACACACTGGTAGTATTGTGATAAGTAGGGTAACTTACTAATTTGAACTTTTATTTCTAAACCTGATAAATATGTTTCAATTTCAGATTTGTACAATTTTCAGATTTGCTGATTACTAGTGTTTTGTTACTGAGAATAGGGTTGTCTTTGATTTTAAAGTAGGTGTATTTGAGGAGGAAAGTGTACTTTATTTAATGCCTGAACATAGACCTAATTGTAGTATTCTCACAATGATAGCAGCATTTTAAAAATTTTTAATATTTATAAATTCAATTACATAAAAGATGTAATGCATGGTTTTGACACTTTCCAGTGTTCGTGCCTTTTCCTTTATAGCACGCAAATGCATAATGTAATAGCAAGTCCTTACGAGCATGGACAATTCAGCATGTGAAAATAAACTAGCTTCAGGCACATCTGAGTACAAAGAAAGCTAGTACAACAAAATTTCAATTTTTAGTGAGGGGAAGGAAAGTTAACAGAATTTTATGAGACTGCACTAAGAAAATCAGTTGCTTAGGAAGCATGGAATTTTTATTGTCAGAAATCTTACACGTGGGTGTTTCAATATAAGCGATTTTATAAAATGTAGCAATTGCTGAAAACAAGAAACAGCCATTTTATTGACCCTTCATGTCAGAGAGCTTCATTCAGCAAAGATAAAAATAATTCAGTGGACTTGCACAATATGGGATCTATGGAACTTAATTCAAGTGGGAGCTCTCTTGACAAGAAGCTTAACAAGTCCTGTCTACACCTTCCCTTCCCTTGTTGAGGGGAAGTGGGAAGGTGCATGTTCCCTCTGCCTGTTTGTTGTTTTTTGTTTGGGTTTTTGTTATGATTTTTTTCTTTCTGAAAGGCAGTATGTATGTAACAAATTGTAGTGGACTTTGTTTTGATACATTGTGAAACCACACTAACTGCATGCCCAGTTGTGGGGTTACTTGCCTCTTGCGTAGGTGTAGCAACAGGAGTATTTCTGCCATCCACGCTCTCAGGAGGGGCTTTGTCCTGCTCTTCTGAAACCCAGAGTTCCCTGTGGCAGGGCTGGGTGCACACGTTAGAGGCCTGCTCCTTGGTGCTGTTGATGGGAGCTGGACTGACTGGCCTATGGCAGAATTCAAGTGAGAAAAGCTTAAACCTGGTCATGGGCCACTGGTAGGATGGGTCTTGGGTTGATGACTACACCGTACTGTGTTGGGCAGTACTTTACAGCTGTTGGGTTGGTGGATTCGAACCCATACCTTTCAGTTCTTTCTCCTGTATGTCTTTTCAGCCAGCTACATAAGGACTTTTAAGCATATGCCTTGTTAGAAGTTATCCGTGTTTTTATTTTATTTATTTTTTTTTTAATTTTTCATTTGTACCCATGTCCTACACAATCAGTACTTGACTTACCCACTCCCATTGGTGGTTATGTCATGCGATAATTGTTAGGATTATATCTCTTGTGCTAGAATAGTAAGTCTTCAGTCTTCAGCCTGTGTGTTCTTTTATGAAGCAAATAATCGTAGGTTTTTGTTTGTGTATGTGAGAGAATGCATTATTTTGTGGTTGTCAAAGCAATATTTAAGAGAACAACATGATGAGAGATTTGGAGACGAAGCTGGATAAAGAAGATCTTTGGAGAAAATGGAAGGAGTGAGGGAAAAATTTCTTAACTTGTTTTAGCCTCTTCCATGTGAAGTAACTCCACAAAAGTCAGTGGAGCTGAAATGTTGTGATGTTCTGTCTGTATGAAAGTTGAGAGGAAGTTTCTCTTTTCTACCAGGTTGATGAAAAAGGCATTTTTGTGGTTGGCCATGTTTGATTTGCTTTGCACAAGTGGTCTTTGAGCAATAGCAATTCTACAGTGAACCACATCATGCTGATTTAATTTTTATTTTTCATTATGGGGTAAAGTACAGGGACATTAATGTATCTTGTCCTAACTGCTGAAGAGCTCAATCCTGCAGCTACAACTGTGCAATTGGATTCTTGAACAAAAAGACAGAACCAGACCTGCAGTAGCAGTGTGCACCCCTTCACAGATCTGCTGCTTGAAGTTGTTGGTGGCCCGTAATTCTTCAGGAAAGCTGCAGATTTCACATTATTCTTAATTATTGATGTGCAGATACTCCTGCCAGGGTCATGCACATGTTGTACTCTGTGATCAGCGCACAAGCTTATAGACATCCCCCGACCTGATGGTGAGCAATGCAGGAAGGACTAGGAATAGAGATGGGAATAAAAGCATTGCTGAAATACTCAAGAGTTCTCATAAATGAGAAGAGGGTGGAAGAGCATCAAGTGTGAGACTGCAATTTGGTAGGTGATATATCTTCTGGCACGTGTGCCATTTTGTTCAAGTATGTGTGCTTCCCAAGTTGGCTATATGGAAGGCAAAGAAAACAGTACTGCAAATCAGTAGTTGGAGGTGATGGATTTGTAAAGAAGTAGCGTTACCAACTCCACTTTGTTAGTAAGTCTGGCTTCAGGTGTTCTTCCTCTTCACAAAAAGTTTCTTTATATCCAGATTTCATGTTGAATAGTGCAAACTTCCTGCCTGGTTCAGTTCTAATCAGTGAGTGCTCGATGGCACAAACTTGTGAGTTTCAGGGTTTATTTCTTGTTTGAATATGTCTGTAACTTTTTTTCCTTATTGAAGTGTCTTTATTTGTATTTCTTCCCTCTAATTTGTTTGAGATACTCTTTCATACATTGTGTTAAACATCAGTCATCAAGTGCTCATAATATATTTTGAAACAAGTATGCAAAATTGCAGCATGATCCAGCACTGATTACAGAGCTATGGCATACAAATTAATAAGAAAATAAAAATAGCATCATTAATTTCCAGCTGCTTTTGGAGAAACAGAGGTGTTTATGGGGGAAATTTGGTGCCTGCAAAATGAAGAGTGACAAAACTGGTAGCGAATATATTAATGCAAGTAACTATTCACAATTTACTTCCTCTGTTCTATTAATTAAAAATGTCTTCCAGTGCTGAAAGAGTAAGCAAAAGCTCCAGCGTTGTTCTTTTAAAACTGTTGGACTAAATAAAGAGCACAAGTGTCAGAATTAGAGCAAGGGGAGGAAGTTTTTGACTTTATTTCTTAGTACAGAAAACCTTAAATAAGAGAAGTAAATTACAGATATCTAAGTGTAACGGTTGGTTGAATGTGTCCATTTCCCATTAATATGAGAGTGAATTGCCCGTGTGTGTGGAAAATTATTTTTTAAGTGTTTCCCTTGGTAGTAAACCAGTATTTTCCTTGCATCTCTTGTATGTGTTTGCTTGTGCTCATCTGTCTTCTTGCCTCAGCATTTCGTACCAAAGCAGCAGAAGGTAAATAAAGTGACCCAGGCAGAATCTTATCTCACCACAGTCTGGACCATCAGTTTCCCTTGGAGGAAGGCATTGAAGGGATCTGGATGCTCAGCTGCAGGTTCTAAAATCTCTGCTTAGTTTGCTGTTACTCGGGCCTGGCCTGTTCTTCAGGTGGAAGCTCCAAACAAAGCTTGGGACCTGCGTGCCTGCAAAGTCTTCCTGGATTTTAATCAGCAAAGGAAGATCCTGCCCTCCTGAGAGACATGTCTAGAGGAAACGGATTATTTATTTATATAGCAAAGTGGACTCCCGAGGACGTCCCTGTTGAGCTTTCTGTTTTGCTGCACCATGTGCCGATGGGGCTAAAGTGAGTGAGAGGATGCTGGAGTGCTGGGAGGGAAGCACCTGAGAAAACTGGCCAGATGCTGTGTTTTGTCTAAGAATTGTCCTGCTGGTTTCTGTGCCATGGGTGATCTAGTTTCTTGCTTTCCTGGATGAACGCACAGAGCTGCATTTGAAGTTTACTGTTATTCTTTGCTTATGGAAACAGAAAGAGAGAAATCAAAACGGGAGGTGAGGCAGTCATCACAGACATCTCCATGCAGTCGGTCACGGGAGAGAAGGTGTGTTGGTTTAAGCCCTGCCGGGACCAGAGACCACGTTGCCGTCGCCCTTTCCCCACCCTCAGCCGGTCAGGCTGGAAGTGAGGCACAAACCCCGGGTTAAAATAAGAAGAAATTTAATACAACAGTGTGATAAGCAATCTGAACAACAATAATAGCAATGATAATAGCGATAAACAGTAATAACAGTAAACAAGACAGAAGATATACAGAGAAATACCGCAGTGGTTACAGACAGCTCGCTCACGTTCTCCCCTTCACCAAAGCCACAAAGGAAAAGTTCCTGCGCTCTCGGGCCAGGACCTGACATCAGTATGGTATGAATAACACTGCTGGAGATCCCTTCTCCCTCTCTGCTGGGGAAACTTAACCCTATCCTAGCTGTACCAGGACAGAAGAGCACAGTGCAGGTCTTCCAGTGAGGACAATACGTGTTCTCTTATTCAAGGATCCTAGGGGAAAAAAATCTTGTGAAGCACTAACAGGCTTTGCAGAGATTGAGCAGGGCTGAAGGAGAGAGTCAGGGTCAGCACAGTGAAAGCAGGGAGGTTTTTACACCTGGTATTCTTGGCCCTTGTGAGCCTCTGTATGTACGCTTACGTGTGTCTATTGCCTTGACATTCCAGTTACACCTATTGAACCAAGTTAAATCATGATTTCGGTCAATAAACACTTGGTTTAAATGGGTGCTTTTAATCTCATTTTGCTTTGGTATTTTTGTATTTGTTTTCTCAGAAGCAATCTCTATTTGTGGATGATGGTTAAAATGTGTTGCTAAATATAGCCTTTACTCTGAATTTGGCACTACTTTTTTGTTAGTTCAGAGGATGCACCGTATGCCTGCCCGCTTTCCAAGTGATTACATGGCTTATATGCATTTATTTAGAGTGCAACTGTTTTAAGAAAGTTTTGATTTAGGACATGACAAATTATGCTTTTTTCCTAATTGTGGTCTTTAAAATTGTCCTATTTAATAAAGCCACGCTTATGCATGAAGGCACACATATGCACAAGTTAATGCAAATAGAGTTTGCTCTTAAAATATAAGTATTATCCTTACTAAGGCAACCAGCTCTGCTGTAATGAAACGTAAGCTTTTAGAACTAGTAGAACTCAAACTTCTCTGCTTTGCTTTCTCAGATGAGGATGAAAACAAGTGATCTTGCTTTTTCAATTCCCAGTTAGTTTCTCAACTGTGCACCAAGCTCCCCTAAGTGAGTTATGGAGCAATGACATTTTCTCTACAAATGCAGTGGAAGTTACTACTTTCAGGTAACTTAGTTCTAAACTTACTACTTGTTCTTGCTCCTTTGATGAAGACTTACCTGTTCGGTATTTATAGTTTTGACATCCAAAAATTGAAATTTATTTTTAATCTAACATAAATTGAGTTATATAATATTTAATAGAATTTAACATTGGTTTATCATAGTTTAAAGGTAAATTGCAATTAGGTATTTTTTAATTAAAATACATTTAGCATCAACAACAGATTGAAATTTGGATCCAATTGCTTTGTTCACAAAGGATTAATTTGTAACTGTTTCTGTTAAGCTGAATACATTGATGACTTCAGTATCCAAACTTTCTCTTTGTAATAACAGATGCCTTGAGCAGTATCTTCTGCCATTAAGGAATGCAGAGTAGCTTACTAGGTGACACTGTGGCTATACTAACTTTTTGTCTTCATGGGATCTAGACCCCTCTGTAGCTTCTAGCAGATACAGATCAAAAAATACTAGCCTGTTTACACAGATATGTAGTTAATATTAAAAAAAAATGTTAAGTGATTATTTTTAAATTGTTGTTGCAAGCTTTCCTCTAGACTATGTGGCATGTGACTGTGACTTTAATGGTTGAGGGGAGACATTATAACTTCCAGGAATGAATCTAGCACCACTGATGTCCAGAAACCAAATTGGTTACTAAATGCTGACTGTATTGCTAATGTATTAGATGAAAGAAGAGTAAGGAAGAAAAAAAAATATTGGTAAATATGTCATAGCAACTCTGTGGGCTAACATGGGTAAAGAATTCTAACCCCCACCCTACCAAAATATTAATAGCATCTGGGCAGAGTCAAAGAGCTTGATAACATGTATTGACTCTGCAGCTTTGTGCAGTTTTTCTGCAGCAGGGGAACTGTGTAGCAGTATCTGTGACAATTAAAGGAATGCAGAGTTACACCTCAGGTAGTCGAAGGGTTGTTCTCTGAGATGTAGAGTGTGTCTGAGGCCTGGTGGCACAGTTACACAAACTACTCATATTGCAATTTTGTGTCTGACCACCACCACCCCAAGGAGGAGTTACACACTTAAAGAAGTGTTTTTATGGCCTTCTCTCCCCAGAGCAAGCATCAGCTTTGTGATCCTGTCTTTGTCTTGCTTTACCATATTCTTTCCTATCAATGTATAGAGTATTCAAAGTCTCAACAGTTACTGTGGTCTTATATAACTAAATATAAAAAGATAAGATTAGAAGGCTAAGTAGAAATTAGAATATCAAAGCAAACATCAAAATACTCTTGTAGGTCACAAATCTTTAAAACAATCAGTTTTTAAAAAGAAAAAAACCCTACCTTCCTTAAAAAATTGAAATGGGAAAACCACTGAGTGTTACCTACTCTCTTTCTTAAGAAGAGAACAAGCCAAAGAAAGATGAATCACTTGCACTGAAAGGGTCATCAGTTTCAGATTGTCATTTTCATACATTTCACATGCATTTGGTACAACATCAGTAAGAAGGTAAAGCAGTTGCATATTTAAGCAACTTTTCTGATGAAAGCTGTTCTTTGCTGAAGTATTCATGTTTTATGAAGCTGCCCTAAAACAATTACCTCTTACTTAGCATGTTTAAACAGAATGTTTTACTAATGCAGCTGATTTTTATAGTTACTGCATTTCTATAGGATTGAACTACTCTTTTTCTAACTTGCTTTTTGCCCCCCCCCCCCC